AATTCATTAACTAGAACAGCTTTTACTGAGAACCATTCATGCACAAATTCCTCCCCTGAGACCCAGCATTGGTCTGCTCTGAGAGGCCTGACCGGACCCAGATACAGTGGTCTTGATGGAGGGTCAGTAGAGAGGGAACATACAGAGAGTGGCTGTATATAGGTAGGTGTGGAGTGTAGTTTATATAAAGAGTAAGTGAACACGCCAACATTCATAGAACCACCGTTACTATGTACTGGTTATACTGGTCTGGTCCCAGTAGAACAATGTTTCTCTTGATGAACTCTTTAGAAAATAAAGTGATAATGAGGTTTGGACTTACAGCTCTCTGTGGCGAGGATGGTGATGTTATGCAGAGCGATGATCTCTCTGTCCAGAGGTCTGGCTGTTGTGATCACACCTGAACTGCTGTCAATGTTAAAGTAACGCTCCACATCCGACTTCCTGTCTATACAGTACCTGCGCACAGGTGTGACACTGTTATACCAACACAGTCTCACTTGCACTCTTTAAATACTAGAATAGAATAGAATAGAATAGAATAGATCTTTATTGTCATTGTCACAAAAAAAAAAAAAAAACCATTTAAAAAGTATCCCACTGCCTCAACGTATGTCGCTCTAAGTAGCTCTATCATGTCTGAAAGCGCAGGACAAATTAGCAAACATAAATATGCAACGTCCGGTTACACTCAAAATAAAGCTTACACCAGCTTTTGGTACGTGAGTTTTAGCTAACATTGAGAGCCACACCCTGACTTTACTCTCATATCGGGCTGTTTTGTTTGTGCCTTAAATGTTACTGAAATTACAATCTGGAACATAACGCCAGACACCTGTCATGAAACTCTTGCTGTAAATTCGGCATTTATATAATCCATCAACTAAATTGTATTTGTAAGAAAATCCATAATAAACATCATGTATTGTTAGCAGGGCTGCCTAACGGCACACTTGACTTCCATTATGGTTTTGAGGGTTATTTCAGATGTGCTTGTTACTGACATTGTAGCTTGTTAACCTGAGTCAGTGGCAGAGGTGTACAGAGACGGTGAAATGATGAATGTAATGCTGATTGCTGTCACAGAGGTAACTTTATATAATTCAATTCAATTCAAT